ACTTCCACTATAAAGAAAATGAGTGGCTGGCAGGTGGTGGCAGAGCTGATTCAGTATTGGGGACAGCAGCGAGCTCTGGGGTGGGCAGAAGCTGCTCCCCACCCAGGGCCCTTTCTGCCATGTCAGATGCAGCCTCAGCTTTTCCAGCTTTGCTGTTTTTTTCCCCTCCCCAAGATGAGCCAGAAATCCAGCTTTTCTATGTGAACTCTTCCAATTTAACATTCAAACCTAAAAAAAAGCATCTATGGGGGAACCAAAGCCTGCCTCCAGGCTGGCAGGGGCTGCCAGCCTCCAGTTTGTTGCCTTCAACTCAAGTTTTGTCTTCGGGATTTGCAGCCACGCTCTGAGGCCACAGAGGACCAAAGCCAGTGGCACTACTGGCCTGTCCTTCTGATGTGAGTTGTTCACACTTGTTGAAGCAGTTGGCACTATTACCTTAGAAAGGAAAGTTGCTGTTTTCTCTTTTAGTTTGTCCCTGGTATTTCCTAGCTCAGCACAACTGCCCAGCTCTTTGTATATCTCCTAGTTTACTACTCAGGTTTTTGTATAGCCACTATTACCCGAGAAGTCCCCAAACAACAAAAAGCCTTATTATAGGGACTGAGGAACAGAGAAGGGTGTGGTGGGGGTTTTATGGGTGACTGAGAAGTGTAGGCACTATCTCTGTGGACTGTAACTAGGACTGGTAAATAACTTTGCTTTTACAAGTACTTTAAACTAGTTGAAAGTCAAGCATAATCAGTACTTGAATAATGAACATGTGTTTAGACTTTTTAAGAGTGGCACTTTAAAAGAATTGTTGCTCAGGTTCTGGAGTTAATAGGCCATTTGGGGCATTAACTAAGAGGCAGAAACCTGAGTCTGCCCTGAGCCACGAGGTCCCTACCCCTGGCCTCTTTTCATACCCTCCCAGGGGCAGGACTCCACATTGCCCACTGCAGGCTGCCTTTCACTGTGTGTGTGGACCTGTCCAAAATGATATCTAAGAATGTTCACATGACCTTGTGAAAACAGGTCCAAAGAGAAATGCTGTGATTAAAACCTTGAGATGACTCCAAGCAGAGGAGCTTCTCTGGTGGCTCAGTGGTAAAGAATCTGCCTGCAATGCAGGAGATGTGGGTTCCACTCCTGGGTCAGGAAGATCCCCTTGGAGGAGGCCATGGCAACCCACTCCAGTATTCTTGCCTGGAGAATCCCATGGACAGAGGAGCTTGGTGGGCTACAGTCCATGGGGTCGCAGAGTATGACGTGACTGAGCAACTAAACACCACCACCAAAGCGTGGGAAGGTTCCACTTCTAGGACAGCCAGGCCTGAGGCGCTCCGTGGTCCCCACCACCACCTCCCTCAGTCACCCCATGCGGCCACGTGGCTTTCCACACTAGGTTCGCCATCCCTTCCATGTTACCTTCTCCTCTGTGGCCGTTTCCCCTTAGCACCAGAGGCTGGTCTGCCTCCTCCCCAGGTCGTGGCTGTGGTCTGTCTTGTTCACTGCTGTACACTGGGTACTCGGCATGCTCTCACCCTCAGCAGACACGCGGTGTCGCCAAATCCTCATCCCTGCCTTTGGCTTAGATCGCAGAACCCTGTTTATTGAGCTGAATTACAAATCCCGAGTGATAGAACAATACTGTATTCTGTGCAGACTAACCTACTCTCCACAACAAAGCAAACACCGTGTTTTCTCTGCAGCTGAGACAGAACCTCACGAGGGAAAGAGGAAAGTGGAATCTCTGTGGCCCATCTTCAGGATCCATCACCAGAAGACCCGCTACATCTTTGACCTCTTCTACAAGCGGAAAGCCATAAGCAGAGGTGACTGGCCACATGTTCTCTTGGCCTTTCCAGCTTGAGTGGCTGTCCAATTTAAGTAATTCTTGAAACCTCATCAAGCATCATGATGCTTCCTGTTTCCAAAAAACGAAAGGGGGCCAATGTTGACTAAACACTGTTTCTCAGGGTGGGCAGTGATGGGCTGTGGGCTGGAGAGCTTTGTTAAACTGTAGTCTGATGGCCCTTCCCTGTCTTTTTGCAGAACTGTATGAGTACTGTATTAAAGAAGGCTATGCAGATAAAAACCTGATTGCAAAATGGAAAAAGCAAGGGTATGAGAACCTGTGCTGTCTGCGGTGCATCCAGACACGGGACACCAATTTTGGGACAAACTGCATCTGCCGGGTCCCCAAAAGCAAGCTGGAAGTGGTAATGCCACACCCCCCACCCCCCGCCTGATGCCAGCATGAGCAGTTTAGCTGACCACAATGGGTTTTATGTTCTGTTCTGTGGCTGGGTATTCTGCTGGCCCTCCCCCTGGGAGGGAGCCCCTCTGGTCAGGGATCCGTGCCAGGAAAGTTACTGGTTCCTATCCTCACATAGGAAATGTGGATGATGACCCCCACCCCAGCGTGGCTGAGAGGGCTAACCCAGGGGAGGGTGGGCCAGGCTGCAGGGGTTCGTCCCCCTTTTCTCCCGGCCTCCTGTTGCTCCCAGTGACACTTCAACTTGAGCCTCACTGCATTTTGTGCCAGAACTCTCGGGGTGGCGAGGGAACGGTGCTGGGCATGCAGTGGTGAGCTCTGTGTGCAGGCTCCCCTGAAGGGGAGCGGCAGCAGGTGCGGAGGAGGGTTACTGGGCCGTTAGCGGCCTGTGAGTACAGCCCCTCGACTGCCCGTGAGCAAGGTCAGGCCAGATGCCCTCTTTCTCATGGTCCCTTCAGGCTGTAGCACTGGCTAGTTTGTGTGCAGAGCCTTGGCTCTGGCCCATGGGCTTCAGCTCAGCAGGCAGGTCTGTCCCCCTGAGTCCTCTGGAAGCTCAGGATGGGTGTGCGGAGTAGTGGAGGGCGGGCATAGGCTGCCTTCCAAGGGAGGCTCTGTGTAGGTCTGGGGGGGGCGGGCAGAGCAGCAGGAGCCCCACGGTGCGGTGTCCAGAACAGATTTAGTTAGTTACACCACTGGATCTTGTTTCCTTAGACCAGTCTTGCTTCTCCAAAAAAGAGGGAAAAAGAGAATAAACCCCTTTTCTGAACTGGGCAGGCCCCTGGCCGGACACTAGACCACACACCTGGCCCGGGGTACAACTGTCCTGCCACCATACAGGTTCAAGGACACTCCGTTCTCCCCATACCCTACTAGAAAGCAAAAAGAGAATAAACCCCTTTTCTGAACTGGGCAGGCCCCTGGCCGGACACTAGACCACACACCTGGCCCGGGGTACAACTGTCCTGCCACCATACAGGTTCAAGGACACCCCGTTCTCCCCACACCCTACTAGAAAGCTCCTCAGCCCAGAGGACACCGTGAGGCCCTGGCACTGAGCCCCGAGCGCAGAGCACAGTTGCCTCCAGCTCATTGAAGGGTGTGTCATGCTTGCTTCACAGAATAAGAGCAATCACTCAGATTTTTTTTTCTTTCTTTTTGGGACCAAGTATGTACATTGAATTTGTATGAATTAAATCCAGACAGAGATGTAACTGTCAACAGCAGCTGTTCCCATTTTCATGAGGGAACCAAATTTTCCCCATCCTGCACCATCACAGAGGGTTTCTGAGGAGGGTCCATGGGGAATGGATGTCCCATGGCCTTGCTTCCCTGGGGGGGGGGGTGGTGTTCCTGCGTGTGGGCGCAGGGTCTCAGGGGTCCTCTGTCCGCAGGGCCGGATCATCGAGTGCACGCACTGCGGCTGCCGGGGCTGCTCTGGCTGAGCATCGGGCCCAGACCTCCACCCACCCTGGACTCTGGGCTGCGCAGGACTCCGCCCGTCATGCCACCCTTTGCTGGGAGCAGCTTTTCCTCAGAGCGGTCCCCAGGCCCGACTAGAAGCATGGTCTCCTGTGGGAAGGCTTTGGTGTTCATCAGCTATGATTTGTAGAAATAAAAAAAACTTCTAAACCTTTTGGGCTTCACGTCCCTTCTTTCTCAGAGCCAGCGGTCTGGCACCCAGGGGGACGGCACCAGGCCCCGGAGACTAGACGCCCTTGGGACTCGATCCCGACTCCACCTCATCGGTGCCGTGGGACCTGGAGCGAACTCACCCTCCTCGTCGTCACCCTCAGACGGGGAGGGCCTGAGATGACGGACCAAGGTGGCCACGCTGCTCTGGCACTTGCCATGAACTTGTTGGGCACCTGGGCCAGCATTCGTCCTCAGACCGACACCTAAGCTGGAGCTCTGACCCTGGACTTTGCCTCATGCTTGCAGCTGCCCCAGCAAGTTCAGTCTTCCATGTGAAGGGGACTCTCAGGGTTCCCACAGAGCCACGTGAAGGCTGCGCACTTTGTTCCAGCTCTGCTGGGGGTCCTAGGACCTCTTCATCACCTGCCCCCAGGGCCGCTGTCCATGTCAGCCTCGGTGATGGTATCCTGGTCTCCTTTGGGTTTCGTCTGGAATTTCTGCCACGGGTGGGGGGTTTCCTCCGCTGGCATCCCTTTCAGCCACTGCTTATAATAAGCCCGGAAGCCATCAATCTTCTCCAAGTAGGTGTTTTTCCCTTTGTACTGTAATTGGAAAAGCATGGCGTTCAGAGGGGCCACAAGAAGACACTGCCTGCTACCTACAGCGGACCCCAAACCGCGGCAGGTGGCTCAGGCCTCAGGGAAGCTGTTCTTGCTTGCAGTTGGTCAAAAGGAAAAGGGCAGAGAAGCTGCTCAACAGAGAGTACTGCTGAGCCCCTCTAGCCAGGGATGGCACCCCAGCCCCCCAAAGCTAGACTCGCCGGGGGCCACTGCTCTGCCCACGCTGCTGAGCCCCTCCTGCTTGGCACAGACACTGCCGCAGGGGTCTTGGGTCTCAGGAGAGATGGGACAAAGGAAAGGAGACAAGACGCGCCAGGTAGGTAGCAAGAGAAAGCTGACAGAGTACCTAGATAAAAAGACAAAGATGCGTGATCTAAACACTGCTACCACGTGATGATAAACGGGTTGATTCAAAAGGTTTATCAATTCTGAACGCATACCTGATAGAGCCTGAAAGTTCATGCAGCAAAAATTTGACAACAGACACAAGCTCCCCATCATGAGTGAGTGTGAATGTATGAGTGAATACAATAAGGTTTAGGCTTGTATTTGCTGACTCTTGGCTGAGCCTGAGAAGACCCTCAGTGGGTCCTCCATGGAGAACTTTGCAATATGGAACCAACAAAAGCCTAGTCTATGGAGTATGCAAAGAACTGAAGAATCAGTAAGACAATCAGCTGGTCAAAGTGCCCAGCCCCGCCCTCTGCCCGCTACACTCTCCACGGCTGTCGCACTAATTACTAAGCCTTCTTTAATGGCACTCAGCAACCTCCCTGCACAGCTGTCCCTGACCCCAGCCCCATGGCTTGGTGTGTCCTGGCTGACTTGCTCCCTACCCATCAGGCCACAGAGCCTGACGCGGTAGACCTCAAAACCAGAACCGGAGAGCCTGACACCTACGGAACAGCAAGGAGAGAAGTGGCCGTTACAGAACATTCTGTCACCACCCTCCTGCCATCCCCATTCAATTGCAATATGGAACCAACAAAAGCCTAGTCTATGGAGTATGCAAAGAACTGAAGAATCAGTAAGACAATCAGCTGGTCAAAGTGCCCAGCCCCGCCCTCTGCCCGCTACACTCTCCACGGCTGTCGCACTAATTACTAAGCCTTCTTTAATGGCACTCAGCAACCTCCCTGCACAGCTGTCCCTGACCCCAGCCCCATGGCTTGGTGTGTCCTGGCTGACTTGCTCCCTACCCATCAGGCCACAGAGCCTGACGCGGTAGACCTCAAAACCAGAACCGGAGAGCCTGACACCTACGGAACAGCAAGGAGAGAAGTGGCCGTTACAGAACATTCTGTCACCACCCTCCTGCCATCCCCATTCACTCAGCGAACAACAGTGTGTGCTGGGCACCTGACGACGGGCAGGGACCCGGGACCCGGAGAGCAAGACAGACAGTCCCCACCTCCAGGGGCGTTCACTCTCCTTACAGTGAGGGTCACACACAAGTACGTGTGAGCACAGGCCGTGAAACAGGATGAAGAGGAGCCATGCTGTAAGGAGGCAGCCAGCGGGGCCCCGCTGAGGAAGAGCCGCCCGAGCTGGGGCCGACGGGATGAGACAGAAGCAGGAAGGTGAAAAGCAGGGGCCCTGCTGGGAAGACGAGAACCCTGAGGCATGGGAAAGGCCGGTGTCATCTAGAAGCAACCATGGGCCGGGGGCTGACGGCACCAAGGGGAGAACGACCTGACAGACATGAGTCACGTGGACAGGGACCGGCCAGCTGTGGTCTGAGGAGTGTGGATCCTCCCCAAGGGGGCCACAGACAGTTTAAAGCGAGAGGATGCCAATCCCAGGAGGTCAGCACGGGGGTTGGGTGGGGTGGGGTGGGCGTGAGGGTGACGCTGGCCAGGGAGACGATGGGCACATCAGAGCCGGGTGCACTGACCCGGTCAAAGCTGGGTGGGTACTGGGCCGCGAACTCCAGCTGGCGGATGACCACTTCGTTCACGGGGACTCTGTTCTGCCTCATGTCCTTCAGGATGTCGATGAGATAGGCGTAGTCCAGCTTCTTGACGGCCGCATTGATGAGGGTGCTGTAGATGTGGGCGTTGGGGGTCATCTGGGATTCCTGGAACATTCAGCGAGAGGATGGCGGTGGTTGGGAGAGCGTGGCCCTATGGGGCACGTCAGACTTGGGGAGCCAGCCTGCCGCCCGGGCCTGCTCTGCAGACCAGCCCCCAGGGGTGAGAAGGGCAGGACCTCGAAGCAACAACAGGCTGTACTCCCTACTCCACACAACCTGCGTGGGTCCATCCCCGGCAGCTGAAGGCCCTGCCCTCTCAGCCCTGAAGAACTTGGAGAGAAAGCAGAGGGTTGTTCTCAGAGATCAACGAATGCCGGCAGTAAACCATGGGCAGGAAATGCCTCCTGGGGGTTCGCTGCACACCTGTCCCCCGAGAATTCTGGCCCTCCCTGTTCCCATCACGGCCTCCATGCCCCTAAAGGGTTGGGGCCAAGAGCCACCCCCTCCCCTCAACCTCACCCCACGGCCACACCTCAGTGATAACAGCCCTGGCTCTCAGCGCCCGTGCAGCCCCTCACCACGGTCTCCTTTCTCCCAAACTGGACAATGACCCTTCTCACTTGAAGCTCAAGACCCCACTCTCCCTACCCTGCTCCCCACAGCTTACCCTGAGTACAGAGGCCTGGGGGGTTCGGGAGGCCCCCACACCCCCACCCTCACCCCCGGGGCCTGCCCAGGCAGGGCCCACTCACCCTCATGTCCGAGAGCAGCTGAAGGCCGTCCTCTGGCCTGCGACACCCGATGGCCAGGCTGCAGAACGTCTGCAGGTTGGGGACGATGCCCCTCTTTGCCAGGACAGGCAGCAGGGCCTGCGGGGACAGAGGCGGCATCACCGTGAGCTGTAACCCACCAGCCCAGTGAAAGCCTCTGGTGAAGCATGCGGCTGGATGCTGGAGACACTGGGGCACGGTTCTTCTCCGAAGCCTCGCGGCTCCCCCTGCTGACCACCCCAGCACTCGAGGCTGGGGTCTGGCCCAGCACCTTACTGCCCAGCTCCCTGGATTCAGCAGCTCTGCAAGGACACCCTGCCTTCCGGCCTGCTGATCCCCAACAGGCCATCTCTCCTCCAGATCCTCCGTGTTCCTGCCCCTCCTGCTCCTTGACCAGCCACCATCCACTCTGTGCTCAGGACTTGGACGTGGATCGAGCAGCAGGGGCCTCAGGGCATGGTGGTCCCTCAGTCCAGGGCTGGAGACAAAGCCAACAACAGCGTGTGCAGTGCAGGCTGAGGGAGTCCCGGGCGGGAGGAGAGGAAGAGGATGCCTGCTCAGGCCGGGTCAGGGCGGGTCTGCGGAGGGGCTCGAGAGAAAGCTGTGGACACAGAGGGCCTGATGGCAGAGGCTGCTCTGTCACCTGTGATGCTCGTGAGAGCCCAGGTCAGAGCTTCTGGCAAAAAGGGAAGCGCACAGAAACATGTATGAATGGACGAAATCCCGTGAGGGCCCTGGTGTCCCCATGTGTGAAATGGGTAAAGCCATGGGCGGCAGAGCTTCCTGGTGTGGTCAGTAAAGACACATGATGCCAAACTCTCAGGACAGCATCAAGCAAAGTGAGTGTGACAATGGACGATGTCGCGGAGGTTGGTGGGGTGGGTGGTGGGGGCTGAGGCTGGGCACACTCAGGAACCACCAGCCTCTCAGGCCACGTGTCCCCATATGCTGCATCGGTGCAAGCACTTGTTTGCAGTCTGCCCCATCACTGGGAGCCCCCCGGGGGGCGGGGGGTATGGCTGGTCCACCACTCGATTCCCAGTTGTCACCCAAGCCCAGGCCTAAACGGGGGCTCTGGGCAGTCTGCCCACCTCTGGCAGGAATGACTGACACGCCTGCAGGAGAGAGTCCAGGGAGGAAGGAGAGGAGGGAGCCTGTGCCTCCTTCCCCGAGCCCCTCACCTTTGCCCCCTCCAGGTCGCCCCGCTTGCTCTTCTTCCTCATCAGCGTATTGAAGAAGGTCAGGTCGGCCTCCACCCCGTGCGTGTCCAGGACGCTCAGCAGTGAGGACTCTGCAGGGCTCCCAGGCTCTACCACCTCCGCCAGCAGCGTGAGGGTTTTGATGTCAGGGCGAAGCCCATGCTCCGCCATCTTGCCGAGGAAGCCCTCCAGGCCACCCATCAAGGCCAGTCTGTCGGCAGGGGTGCTCACGGTCCCAAAGGAGACCACAGCCAAGGAGGCCGCCCCCGGGGTCAGGAGGTTGGCCTCCAGCCCCCAGGGAGGAGGCTTCGGGGCCACAGAGGTGAGGGCCACCGTGTGGTCGGGCTCTGCTTTGGTCTCCATCCCAGACTGGGCCTGGCCGGGGACTCTGGCCTCCTGAGGCTCCGGAGGCCCCTCAAGTGCCTGAGAAGGTTCCAG